AGTAGTTAAGATCAATAATATCCATCTTTAATGCTCACAAAGGTCTGTCTATGAATGCAAAATGATTTGGTATTTATAGCAGTAAAATCGTCAAAAGTTATGTCTTATCGGACGAGACTACCTGACGTTCGCTAGCTTACCGGACGGTCAAATAACTATTTTTGGTTTAGTAGTCAGAATGTTCAATTTCTTGACCGTTGGACAAACTTGCCATATCGGATGTCTGCTACGATTACCAGACTCCGTTAGAGCTACTGGATGCGTACTCTAGTCCAATTTGTGTCTGGTAGTTAGAAATTTTCCTTCTTTTATTATTTTTTTAAAAATAAATGTACTCTCATGAAGGATGTTTCTAACATATTTTTCAAACTTTTTGACATTTCTTAAAGTGTATAATAGGTTCATCCCTTAAGAAAAATTATTTATGCAAAAATCGTGTTTGTTGTACGAAAAAACTTTTCTTGAGCTTCATATGACGTAATTATCAAATACTAAAGTGTTTTACCTTAACATATGAGATCAAGGTATCTAAGTCTAATTTCTCCTGGTCTCATCTTTGTTTGACTTAATGAAGTGTTCGTTGTCTTGATGTGTAGCTCGACTTCTACTTTGTTCAATTTGTGAAAGCTCCAAAAGCATCATTTTGTCCACGTTAGTCATAACTTCTATAATTACTCAAATATAATTGTTAAACCTAATTTGCTTGTTATAATCAAAATGAGAAGTCAGCAGTAGGTCAACACTACGTTTAGAAGGTTTTGGAAAGATTTACGATGAAAGATTGGGCATCAAGTGTAGCACCCAAAGGTGATAAATTCAGTCAGAAATGATGTCCATTAAATGTATTAAAAAGAGAACACATGGCTCTATACACTATACTTTCAATGTTGGAAGCTTGATGCATGCATAAGCCTGCACTAGACTTGACATTGCATTTACAGTTGGTGTACCTAGCAAATATCAAAGTAATCTAGGTGTAGAACATTGGAGAGCTGCTAAGAAAGTGATGACATACCTTCTAGGAATCAAAAACTCCATATTCACATACAAATATTCAAACATTCTTGAAGTTGTTGGATATACGGATTCAAATTTTGCTGGATGTGTTTCTACTTCATGATACATTTTTCTTCTAGCTAGTTGAGCTATATCTTGGAGAAATAGTAAGCAGGCTATAAGTGTATTGTCTACCATGGAGGCATAATTCATTAGTTGTTACGAGGCTACAACACTGGCATTATGGTTGGGAAATTTTTGTCAACGGCTTAATAATTATTTATACTATAAAGAAGCTTTTGAAGATTTATTATGATAATTCAGCTGTAATTTTCTTTTCAAGAAATAACAAAATTGGAAACCGAAGCAAACATATCAACGTAAAATATTTGATTGTTAGACATCATATAAAGAAAAATGAAGTGAAAATTGAGCATATCAAGACAGACCATACGATAGCAGATTTGTTTGTTACGGGTTGCGCCTCATCGCAAGCACTAAATGAATGAAATGAACGGAGATCTTCCTTCCGCAGGGCTCAATCATAGTCAAAATCAGACTTTTGGCTCTGTAGGTACTCTTTTAAAAGTAATCGTACTTGTAATATATGGAAGGAAATGTCTGATTATTAAAATAGTACTGCCATGATTCAAGTTTTGGATATTTCTATTTGAGTAGATTATTGATAGTTTCAGTAAATAGCCATAAAGTACTCACCTTAAAGTTATTGCTTAATATGTGACCAAGTGGGACATTGTAACCGTTTTATGGTCACATATTAAATGCAAAGATAGGGTCACATATTAAATTGCTAAGATAAGTTGTTAAATGGTGAGGTTTAATAAATGTTATAATAGTTTCCAATTTAATGAAGGGAATTTATTATAGGAAGCATCCACTTCTATAATGGATGGATTGGTTTGTTTCTTATATATATGCACTAAAAGGTCTCTAGTCAAACTTGTACATTTTGTCTCAAATTAAAAGTACCATGTATTTATTTCCATCAAATAAAGGGGATATAAGGCTGATATTGGCTAGAAGGCTTGTTGGTAGTGTCACACTTAATTTCCACTACATATTCTCAATTAATCTTGGATAATATGGTTCGAGGTACACATTTAATTTTCTTACACTGTAAGCACTATCCCATAAGATACCAATACTCCAACAAATTTTTCATTTGCATTCCATCTTTGCAGCCACCAACAATCCACACTACAAATCCTCCTCAAACTCGTACTTTTCCAGCTACTCGTTTGAAAATGAGGATATTCAAATGTGGCACAAGAGGAAGCAAAAATGGATGGACTATTTCGAGAGACTAAAAAAGGATGTAATTGAGAAGCAAGAATAATTGCGGAAAGAAATTCTTAGGAATGCGAAAGATATCAAATCGTTATTGAGGAAGCTTGGAGGGTAGAACAAACAGTGTGGATTTTAAGATTCTATTGGATTGTCACTCTAATTTTATTTTGGTGTATTTATTAAAAATATATTTTAATTGTGATGTAATTATAATGTTGTGTAGTAAATAAATTTTGTGATTACTCTTTTTATTTTTTGTACAACATTTCAATTACATTTAAAGTTCTCAATCTTTACTCATTATCATATTAATGTTCTAAACGATTTTTCATGACATTCTTATACTATTTACATTAGTTAACATATTTTTATATTTGATAATAGTTTATGTCCAAAAATTCCGTTGAAATAGCGTATAACTTATTTTCCCCATCATATTTTAGATAATAAATAAATAAAAAGGACGAATTTTTTATTTATTTTTAATCATTTCAAAGTATGAAAATAAAATATTTTTAACAAAAATCATCATCATGGATGAGATGCATTAGAGGAAAGAAGGTATTACACTTCTTTTTCATTTTCTTTCTTTAAAATTCCTTTTATAAAATTTTACTAGGGAAAGGAGAAGTATAGATAAAATCCACCATCTTTCTTTATCTAAATATAAACAAATTTTGTTAATTTAGATGAATTCTACTCCATGTAATCTCTATTCAAACCGTTCAAATCAATTGACAAAGTTCTACGTACTATTTCGTAGGCACGAAGGAGAATGGAAATGGTTGTATATATAATTAAATACTACTTGCAAGCTAAAATTGTTTAATCTATCTGTGCTGATGAAATTGTTGAAAAATGTTAAGGCAAGGAAAACTACAAGGGAAATTGGCACAAATGATCCCAATTCTTTACCACCACATTGTGTTTTTTGTTCAAACTTTTTAATGTAGTCCAAATGGTCCATAATCTTTTTATTTTTAGTGCAAATGGTCCCTTTCGATGGAATCAATCCCAAAATAACGTTAGTTTTGTGTTTGCAATGAAATTGTCGTATTTATTTATTTTTGTTATTTCAAGGGGCAATTTTTTTAAATGTATTTCTCTACTCGAAAAGTAAAAAAATAAAAATAAAAGAAAGATAAAAATGTTTCATTAGTCATTGAACTTATACCATGATCACACTTTACTTATTGAACTTTAATATATTTTTAAATGGTCGCTGAATTTTACTTACTAAATCCAATTGTTCAAAAATTGAAAATTTTAAGTATAAAATACAATATATGAAGACAGGCCATTCCTTTTTCTTGAATTATCTTGTGACAACTCTAAAAATTATATTTGTTATTAATAATATTGGCTCTAAATTGCAAATTTCACTGCTTGTTTGAGATATAATTTTTTATTTTCTTTATATGGGTCTACAATCTCAATTGAAATAAAGAATAATTTCTCTATTTTATTTTCTCGATGTAAAAAATATTAAAATCTAAATTAAGATTTATGTTAGTTTGAAGTTAGCATTCTTTTATTCTCTTTAACATAGCTTTTGACGACTAAAGAAATTATATCATTTTGACCAATATTAATGCTCTTGCCTTAGGTTGAGTCTTATTTAACTATTTGATTTTTTGGTCTAGATTGAATCTCATAGAAAATCAACATTATTCAAAAATGTTATGAAGTTCAATGACCACTCAAAAATATTTAAAGTTTTGTGTGTAAAGCGTGATAAAGGTATAAGTTTAGTTACTAATGAAACATGGTGTGTAAGTAAGGGAGTGTAACATGTTAAAGTTGAGTGACTAATCAAAAGTATTTTAAAGTCTATGACTTATGAAACATAATGAGTGAGTGATGGAGGACGGCGTGTTAAATTTTAGTGATCACTTGGAAGCATTTTAAAGTTCAATAGGCAAAAGGTGACGGAGATATAAGTTCGGTGATTAGTGAATATTTTAACTCGTTTTTTCTTTGAGGGAGGGAATGAGAAAGGTGTTCAATTTCACATATGTGAAATAAAAATGCTGGGGCCTCTCACTAGACTTTGCTTTTTATCTTCTCATTTGTATTTATATAGTTTTGAAAGTGAAGGCAATGGTGTGTTGTGCTATGGGTAGTAGCGTGTGGTGGTTAGGATGGGAAAATGTAGAGACGACTTGGGAGGCTTCAGGAATAGTGAGAAGAAGTAATGGTGCAATGCTTGAGAAGATGGCTCAAAATTGAAGGTAATCAACTTAGGTACAAAGGTTTACAACATAAGTTTTTTAGTAGCTCCAATGGAAGATTCGACCAGTCAATTGGTGATAATAGTGGTGGACATGATGGTGACTAACTAGTGAATTGCGGTAGCAAAATTTGAATATAATTAATTTTTTAAATATAATTTTGTGTTTCTGGAGAAAGTTGTTCGATGAAATTGTCCATTAACATAAAAATAAAATAAGAGCAGTTGCATTGCTCGTACAAAACTGATTGTCCTTCTAAATGAACTCCATTCAAAAGGGTATTTGTACCCAAAATGAAAATGTTTGAAATCATTTCACCGTATTCGAAAAGTTTGGACCAAAAATCAATTTGAGCAAAGGTTTGGGACATTTTCGCCGATTCCCAAATTACAATGACAACTCCGCGTCCCTTTCATTTATGGTAAAACATCCTTTTTTCAATAATCCAACTATCCAAGAAATGAAATTCCAGAAGATTTAGATGAGTAGTTGACCCAATTTTTCGGTCTTTAATAAGCAACATCTCAAATTTCCTTGTTTTAGTATTTTAAGCCACACGGTTTCTACTACGTAGAAAAGTCGAAATACTGTTCTACAGATCACTCGTTCAATTCCCTTTTATTTTTACATTGAATTTTTAATTTTTCCTTAATAAATTCATTTTGGGTTTCTCGTTAAATTTTGGGATCTCTTTTTGCATTTGTCCTTTTAAGAAAATATTTTTTCTTGAAGAATGGGACAGCAGCAATCGAAAGACGAATTGTTGTATCAGCAAGTGAATTATGGAAACGTTGATGGCATTAAATCGCTTCGAAGTGAAGGAGCTGGGCTTGAGGTAGACCTTCAAAAATCTTGCCCTAAAATTCTAATAAATGTGTGGGAGGGGTGGGTGCATGGACGTTAAAGTTATAATTGTTAATTATCTTGTTATTTCGATTTCAATTGTAAAAATTTTTCATTTTCAATCGAAGCCCAGTTCATTTCCTTGGCATTTATTAAGTTATAATTGTTAATCATCTTGTTATTTCGGTTTCAATTGTAAAAAAAAAAAATTCATTTTTAATCGAAGCCCAGTTCATTTCCTTGGTATAAGAGTTTTTAATTTTCTGGCTTTGATTCAATTATTTGGTTGAGCAAAACACGGGCAACAGTATTATAAGAGAAGAATTGGGTATGAGAGAGTACTTGTGCAATTCGATGTAAGTGGTAATATCACGGGTTAGGTACCAGAGTTACTGTACAGAGTAGTTTCAGTTATTCAGTATAATTTATAGCTGCCTGCATAATATAGTTTTATTCACCGGGTCTGTGGTTTATGTGCTAAAATGGTGGTTGTGGTGGCAGTGGATTGATAGTGAAGGAAAGACTCCACTTATGGTCGCTTGCATGAATCCAACGCTTCACAATGTTGCGGAAACTTTGATTGAACTGGGTGCCAATGTCAATGCTTACCGTCCAGGTACACAATTGTGTTGCTTTCTGATTTTTGATACTTTATGTTTCATAATTTCCAGTTCAACTCAAATTGAGTCATTCTTTATTAATTTAGATGAAGTGAGAATAGAAGGGGAAGGAAGTGGAGAGAAAATTTAAATAGAAGATCTTATGATAAAATTTATTTGTTCTTATTACCATGTAATTGTAGAAATTGTTATGAAATTTAGTTGCTGAGGTGGGGTGTAAATTGATCCTAGGTATGGTAATAATATTAATAATATATGTAAAAAGGGACAGAGGTATATTTAGATCCTAAATGGAAATGAATGGCGACAACATTTAGCACCTATTTGATAGGAATTAAAATCTAGATTTTAATCTTAGTCAAAGTCTACAATTAATTTTAATTACATATTATCATAACTTTTCAACTACACATTTCATCAACTTTTATCAAAATCTACTAAAAATCGTGATTTTAATCTTGATAGAACCCCAATTGTTGCTGCTCAACTGTTGGAAGTCCTACTAAAATTCTGCAAATCAGCTGTAGAGTACCAGAGTTAGGCCGCAGATTGTGTAACAAGTATTAGCTGGATAGATTGTTGGATTGTAACTATGAATTGTAAATTGTTTATTGGAATACTGAATTAACAGAAATGATAACAAATCTCAGGCTAATCTCTCCACTGTTTTCTCAATACCTCATTACATGAATGAAAATCCCAACTCCCCTTTTTAGCTTTATATTACCTTTTTACCCTTTAGCTAACTAACTATGTAACACTCTAGAATAGTTGGATGACTTGGCTACAATCTGATTATATACCGATCATTTCCAGTCACCTTGAAATCCATCTTGTCCTCGAGGTTGGAAGCGTGATTGAACTTCAAAATTGAGAATTTCATATAGTTGAATCATTTTTAGACTAAGCTTGTTTGAGACTTTGAGCTATTAGCTTGTGTAGCCAGTTGTCCACCTACCATTATAATGTTATCCCTTCAAATTCCCTAGCCAATTGGGCCCACATAAAGAACTCCGAAGTTTGAGTCCTGTCTGAAATGTAATTTTCTTGGGCTTGATCCGTGACTTCTTTTATATCTTCCACACTTTGGGCCAAATTCATAATGAGGCCCAAATATTGAGGCCGTAGCCTTCTGTCGTTAAATCAAACAACCTACACAATCACAAGGATATGCTAACCTTTTGATTACAAAATTTATAAAACCAAAACCCGGATTTGTAAGATCGATCCAATAAATTTTTGAACCAAGAAACCAAGACAATTACAAGAATACTTGACCTCGTGATGGGGAAAAAATCATAATTAACTTACATATATATTGAAATTCAGAATTTACTACTTTAATAGGAAAAAAATGAAAAATTCTACTTCACCACAAAATAAATGCAAATTTGACAGTTTGTCCTCAAATGGAAGCTAGTTAATTGTTTACGTATATGATGATATGAATCCCCAGCTACAACATTACCAATAATTTACCACCTAGATCAAAGAGACTTCTAGGAAGGCCGAAGAAGACGAGTAGAAAGCCACGGATTGAGATTCTTCAAACAACGAGATGTGAAAGGTGCGGAAGTACAAGACACAATAGGAGAACATGCAGGTAACCTCAAGCCATGAATAATATTAAAAAGTGGAAAGGGGGTTCAGAAGAATAATGGAGCCACTTCTTACTTGCCATTTAATTTTCAATCCCACATTGACAACTAATTAGAACAATTTCAGATGCATATTGGAATATGATGTAAAATTATGAATTTTCTTAAGCTTGAATAAAAAGTGGCATCGAGATTTCTTAGTTACATTAATCGATGGGGCATTGAGATTTCTGGATTACATTAATCGATTTGCTTTCATCATTTTTGTTTGATTAAAAAATGAAACGTAATACACATGAGTATGTTTGAGGTATTAGTTGAAGTGTTGATTTTGGATTAGATTCATTCAGTTACATATAACCACCTCTGAGATTTAGTATTTGTGTATTGTGTAAGTGATTAGTTAATGAAATGTTTCAAATTGGAAGACATAAAGTGAAAGACAATGAACATGCTCATTTGGCATAAACAACATTCATATTTTGTTAGGTTAGAACACTGTGAAATACAACAAAAACAATGAGTTTCTCTATCCAAAAATTTCCTGAATAATACGCGAATTAACAAAAACTTGGTGCACTCCATGGCAACACACGTTTGGGAAAATCAAATTCTCTAAGCAATCAATACAATGAAGTCAGAAATTATTGGGCTTTGTAAATGACAGAGTATTGCACAAACAAAAAAATAGATCCAGTAACATATCAACATGACAGATATCCCTGCTTCGATACCATAACATGTAGATTAATTAGCACACGAGTTACCCGCAACATTGTCGATTTGCCTTTTATCAGTGTTGTTAACTTGGGTCTTCTTCTTCACATGCACACCGGTGTTGGGAGATCATCTGTTTGGGGTGATCATTAATCCCGTCAGCTTTATTAAACTCAGAACCCTCAACCCCATTTTCTTCCAGTTCCAAACCCAAAAAGCCCGGTGTTGGGAGATCATCTGTTTGGGGTGATCATTAATCCCGTCAGCTTTATTAAACTCAGAACCCTCAACCCCATTTTCTTCCAGTTCCAAACCCAAAAAGCCCGTGGCATCCGGCTCTTTAACCACCTCACCGGTAGACTGCAGCAACAAGTTCTTCAAGAGTTGCCATTCTGGGCGATAAAAGAAAATGATAAAAGACTTCCAAATCAATAATAACTATAAAACCAAAAGGAAAGTAAATAAACAACACTATAAACACCCGCTACTCAACTAGAAATGAACCAAAAGCTCTTCTTGGGTTCGGATTTCTCATGACAGCAAAGGAACCGAAAAATATACCAGATACTCTTATTTAGGTGCATGTTTGTATACATGTAAACACACACTTATAAATCTTATTTGCTAACAAACACAGTACAGAAATGAATACTGGGTCTGGTTGAAACAAGTTAAAGTAATTTTATAGAAAAAAGAGGAGAAGAGGTGTTAAATACCTGAATAAGAGGAAGGAATCTTATCTTTTGAAGAAAATTTCACGCTATCTTCTTCTTCCTCTGGAAGAATGCATTTCCAAAGCCAAAAGCTAACAAAGAAAATCCAAATAGGCTTCAGGTTTGAAGATTCTTTAACGAATAAGAAAATTGGATTGGAAATTTTGCATATCTCTGTAATAATGATAACTGAGAATAGTTAAATGGGGAATTAAGTACGTGGATTTGGGATGGTTTGAATTAAGTAATAGGGGCATTTTGATGGTGTGATTGTTGCATGATTATTGATTAATTTAGGAGAGTCAATTTTTAGGTTTTTTATATTACTGCATATATTACAGTAATTTTAGGGAAAAAAAATATGAAAAGTAAAGTTTGAAATTAATTTTAAAATGTGGTACATGGTGAAATTTCCTCTCCGTCATTATCCCCTAATATAGGTTTCAATTCATTATCCACATTGCTTCGTTGAAACTCCTCTGGTGACGACTATAAAGGGGTGACCAGATTTTTTGACAGCCGTCGATGACTACTGTTATTCCGATCAGCTTTGATTTTCTCGGATTTAGGTGGAGTTTTAGAGGTGATGGTGATTTTGGCCGAAGCTTCTTCTGCCCCTTTCTTCTTTTCCTCCCATCTATGCCCGTCCAATTTTTTCATCATTATTTTGAGCTTCTTAATCAACATTGACATCTCTCTTAAATTCGGATTTTGATTGCAGCTAGCCCATCCTAAATCTCCAATTGTATTTCGATTCTCGCTTCGAAAAACCCTACCTGATCAGTAAATGCCATTTCGTACTGTGTTTCTCTGGAACTGATTGATGTTGTGCTAGTTTGAATCAAATTGATGTAAATCCCTACGATTGCTGCGATTGTGATGCTGGGAGGTTGATGCTATGCTGATTTCAAAATTGAACCTTACTGCTAGTGATTTTTGTTGACCACCGTGGCTAACGTCTTAGTTGTTGTAGTTGCTTCTATGAACTCCTGCTTTGTAGCAGATGTTGCTTATGAAGCCCGATCACTGAATACTATATTCCTACGTAATTGCTCTACCAAATTGATAGAACCCAGTTGTTGCCGCTCAACTATTGGAGCTCCTGAAATTCTGCAAATCAGCTGTACAGTAACAGAGTTAGGCCTCAGATTATGTAACAGAAATTAGCTGGATAGATTGTTGGATTGTGACTCTCAATTGTACTCAATGGATGATTAATTGTAAATTGTTTGTTGGAATACTGAATGAACAGAAATGATAACGAACCTAAAGCTATTTGAGAGGCCTGATCTCTCTACTATTTTCTCAACACCTTACTACACGAATGAAAATCCCAGCTCCCCTTTATTATATTTATAGACAATCTACTAGCATTCTATTACTCTTTTACCCTTTAGCCAACAAACCATGGAACACTCTAGAATATTTGATGACTAAGCTGCAATCTGATTGGATATCTATCAAATCTTTACCAAACGAGGGCTTAAGTTGTAAAGGCTCGTGATCACCCAAAATATTGAAATTTAGAAGGGAAAACTAAAACTGAAATGAAAAAATAAAACAATACGAAAACTAATCTCGATTTTTTTGATTTTGATATTCGCAATGAGATGAAAAGAATAAAGATTCAAATCTTAAGTTACATCAAATTTTTCATCCATCTCATGCCAACAAATGAACTATATCATTTAATCCTTGTATTAGCCGAAAAATTGTTATAAAATACATCATCAGGGATTTGAGTTTTCCATGAATCAATTGATTCTATATGACTTATTATCTCTAATTCTCGGACTCTAAGAAATGGACAAAGTACCTGTGTCAACATGACATGGATATGAGCATGTGATATGTTTCGGATCCTCCAAGTTTCAACTAGATATTTCATTGTTATTGCTTCTTTCTTTTTCTTCCTTCTTTCTTTTCTTTCCATTTTCTTCTTTCCCATTCTTCTAGAAGTAAACTTGTTGTCGCCGTCAAGCAGGTGGAGGACGGCGGCGGCACTAGGTTTTCCCTTCTTTTTCTTCCTTCTTTTTTCTTTCCTTTTTCTTCTTTCTTTCCCTCTTTGTATCGATGGTTTAGGGTTTGTATAATATGAAAAGTGCTACTTAGTGTTCCACTAAATTCAAATTTCTATTTTATATAATATTTAGTAATGAATTTTTCATAATTGAAAACTAAACTCCAAAATTCTATTTTATTTATCTTAACCCCTTATTCAATATTCATTTCCTTTTTTGTGAATAATTGATTTTGATCTATTTAAAATAACATCGTGTTAGTTAAAAAAAAAAAAAAATTAATGTTTGAAAGACATACCCTCGTACACTTGTCCGAAATTTGGACTCCTTTTAGCCATGACCACATATTCTATATTTTAGAAAATAAAAAATCTAACACTTAGATATGTACCCAAGTCTGAGCATCATAGCTTATTACTGCCTCTTTGATGTTTTTTCATGTTGTCAAAGAGTTACGGCAGATTTGGATTCATATAGATATCCACCCATGTGGTACTTCATTGTACGATATGAATCAAGAAAAAAATAAAGAGCTTGGAGCCAATAAAGACTAAGAAGATTGACTCTCACTTATCAGATTCCATTGTGGAAGACACAATTTTTTCTGAAGAATTCGCCATGATATACCTCATCCATGCATAATATCATGAAAAATGGATACAAATTTAACATATAATAATAAGAAAAGTAAAAAACTTATTATATATATACGAAATATAGAACCCATTGTAAAAAAAATGAGTATTTTTCGGAACTTCTTTTCCCGGAGAAGAAGCAATGACGGTATCTGGGGAATAAGCATCGGCTAACTCGTTTTTCGAGGATCGAACTAACTCTTTCAAATTCGATAAATGTTGGTTGATTGTCTATTTCATTTTAGTTCTATGATCCAGGGTATCCTTTGCGTCATTAAATCTAATTTCAGCCTAAGCATTTTCCAATCAATGATTGCTAAAGCCTAAATGTTCTTCATTTCTGATATAACCTGCTTTATAAGCTGTTCATTTTCCCCCCTTTTTTGAAGGTCGCCAGGCAGGGACTCCTTTGCATCATGCTGCAAAAAGAGGTCTTGACCAGACTGTAAAGTTGCTTCTTTCACATGGTGGTGTGTATACAGTTTCTGTCTACTATTGTATTCTCCATAATTTAGGTCATGATGTTTCAGTGGCAAATAGTATTTTGTGTTTACTGTCTATATATGTCAAATTCTGGTTCAAATTTCAGCAAATGCATTAGTTATGAATGATGATTGCCAAACTCCACTTGATATTGCTAGAGGCAAAGGCTACAGCAACATTGTTCGCACTATAGAGGTATTTTTTCTCTTCTTACCATTAGTTTAGCACATCAGTTCTGATTTGTTTAAATGTTTTACATGGTGATCATGCAAGGAGCCAAGGAGTGACATTTTCCTATTATGCTTATTAGGGGCACGTGTGCTTATTCTCTGGTTGGTTGAGAGAGCTTTATGGGCCTGGCTTTCTTGAACTTCTTGCACCTCAACTGCTTTCAAGAAAAGTGTGGGTATTATATTTACAATTGATACACATTCATGGTACTCCTTCATAGTGTTGTAACTTGTTTCTTGAGTTGCTTCTATTATCTTCTTTAATCATTTTGTATAAGTGACTGTTTTAAAGATTATTTTACTATCAATGTTTACAAGAAGCTCTTGTTAATATTTGTGCAGTTGGGTGGTGGTTGTACCTTGTGGTTCTCGAAATCTTAGAAAGCCCTTTAAGTTGGAGCTTGCTCTATATGCCAGTGCACAGGTATCTTTCTTCATTTAAAGCTCAAATGAAATTATTTTTGCTTGGCATCTCTGTCAATTTTGTAACTATTATTCAAGCTTTTTGATCACACTACTTGTGGATTTAGTCTCCTTACAGTTCCACCATGGTGTTATTTGGCATTTCTCTTTCAATTATCTGTACATAAGTTTGATATTTCTTTATTCTACCTGTGTTCAATTTGTCCAGTAGTACTAAGCAATTTCCCCCATCTCTCTCTTTACCACATGCACATATGGGCACACACACACATACTCGTAGAGAGGAGGGAGGGAGGGAGGGAGGGAGAAATGTCGGCTTTATTGCTGTATGTTTACACAGGAACATATTGTGCCTTCATTTGCTTTGAATTCACATCTATCAAGCTCATGTGTTCCGCTTGTTAAACTTGTACTGTGTTGTACAATCAGGATGCGCAACCACGATTAATTATTCCACTATGGAAAGCTAATCTAGAGGAACCAAACTTCAATCTGCCTGATCCAACAGCAGTCGTGACTGCTATTGCAAGCAGTAATTTCTCTTCATAACTTTTGTTTCTTAATATACCATTTTCTGGGTGATCAAGTTTATCTTTATGCATAGTCCCGAGACGCTGGAGGCGAAGGCGAGGTATTAAGTCCTCCCAACAGGCAAGGAGTAAGTATATTTAATTTTGAACTAGCTAAATGAAAGAAGAACGAGTTTAGGGGAACATAAGATGTTAAACTTCAACAGTGCTTCTTTTTTATTTTCATTGAATTGCTACCTTTGATAGTTAGGTATGGATAAATGAATCTTAGCCCCTGTTCGGTGGCCAATTTTTTTTTAAATTTTTTTTTATGAATAGTGAGTTTTTGGAGAATGTGTGGTTAAAAAGTGGGGAATGGTTTTGGGTTTACGTATAAAATATTTTATTGTGTGAATGTGTGGTTGAAAATGAGTATATTAAAAAAAAAGAGCTTTGAACGAATGGGAGGCAAACATGGCCTTAAAGTTTCTTCGTACACAGTGTTTCTCCTTGTGGGAAAAATGAAAAACCCGGTGGTGGGGGTGGGGTTTCGAAGATGCCCATGGACTTGGAGAGCAAGAGAAATTTTTTCTAAATGTTGTCACAGACGTAATGTCACTAGATAAATTTAACCATTAGAGGTAGATTTAAACTGTTCAGTGTAGCGTGTGAAGATATTCTTTATTTCAACTCTAGGCATATGAAGCTTTAAGCCTCAAGTGATGTACCCTGGGATCTGATACAGGAATGGTTTAAACTGATTCAAATTGTGCAACTATTTTTTGATCTAATGATGAAATTGTTTTCTGAAATACATTTTAGAGCATTGTTGCCTAAGCTTAAAAATTTGTAAAATTAACTTATTAACATACGTGTTCGGATAATTAACTTTTATTTTGCTTTTGAAATCAGTAACTTATTTTTAATTTTCATTAATAATAAATTTATTTTAAATCAAACTTTTTTATTTTTTTATTTTTTTAAACTTAAATAAGTAAACATATTTAAAAACTTAAGCCAAAATGCTCTTGATCTATAACCGTACTACTTCAGAATATTATTCCCGATATTTACTTCTATGATTGATGAGAGGAGAAATGGTGATGTTCCCTCCATCATTTAACTGCACAACACGAGTTAATCCTTTTGTTTTCTTCATTTACAGAGGCACGAATTAAACTAGCACCTGAGAGTGACAAACAGCAATTGCAGCGGTTCTGCAATGCATGCAAAGGAATTCCTCAGGTAGAATACAGTTTCTCTGCTAATTTTACTTTCACAACTAGTGCTTCAAGAATTGAAAGGCATACATCCATTTTTATAATGCAGACTGCCTGAGTTAAACACCATGAAAATATCTTATTGGCATCGTGAAAAATTTTACTTTTCCCATATTTTTTTGTGTCAAATCATTCAATCGGCAAGATTATCACTACTTTAGAAAAGCTGCAAGATACTAATTTTGAAATTGCATTATGTGCATGTACCTGCCATCGTTTTTTCCTTTTTTTTTTCTTTTTTATGGTAGAGATAGATGTGTTGGTTAGAGTTTTGGGTGGGGGGGAATAGAAAGGGGAATTGATAATGCCTAACAATGCTTTCTAGTAATTAGAGCTTAAAATTTTAAAAATTCAGGTGCCACATCCAACCTTTCCTTTCAATACCCAAGTTCCTGCTGTTCAAGCAACCGCTCCACCAACTTCCGAAGATGAAGAAGTATCTATTGCAATCAATGCCTCCCGTCAGGCTGCTGCACATGAAAGACCACCAAATATTGATTCTCATTCAATTTCATCCACGAGTTCAGGCAACTCCACAGAGAGCTCGAGTCCCAGGAATAGTTACATTTGGGGGGCATCTACCACCCACAAGGGAAGTGATGGAACCCTTCTGGAAGACGGTCCAGGCAGCCAAGTTCAGCATATCCAGACACAGAGTAGCATTCCATCTGTTGTCCGAACAACTCTTGAAAACCCGACACCTGTCTCCATCCCATCAGCTCCACCTGTTGCAGATGCAGTTATTGACGATGGCCCGATTCACTATCCATCAATTGACTCGAGCCCTGTTGATTTGTCTTCAGCTGCTGTAGATGCCTTGCCTGCCGGACTTGATGAGAAGATAGTAGATAATGCTACTTCGTCTTGTACAATATGCCTGGATGCTCCAGTTGAGGGAGCTTGTATCCCGTGTGGTCACATGGCTGGATGCATGTCTTGCTTGAATGAAATCAAGGCCAAGAAGTGGGGTTGCCCTGTATGCCGTGCCAATATCAATCAAGTGATACGAATATATGCTGTTTAAATCTTAGAGGATATGAAGCTGTTACTGGTGAGTTCAGTCCACCTCTGTGACTAGTCTTATGATTTTTTTTTTTTTTTGTTGCGTAATTATGTTAGGTATATATTAGAAAAACTCGACTTCAATATAAACTGTCAGATTGTGCTTCTGATCTAAGTATCATCGAGTTTCATGCAAGTCTCTAGTTCACCTTATACAATTTACACCTCTCCAGTAGAAATAACCACTTGCTGGGAGTTTTGGAACTTCAACACTTTTGCTTGATCAAATCTTGATTGAACTTAACAGTTTCTGTTGTCAAAATTAATATTTTCTTGTAAAGCTCTTGATATTTCATTTTTTCACCGTGCAGATTGTAAATGATAGCAAGTATCAAGAGCAAATGGCCATCTGCAGCATAGTTGTATCCATATCTGTTGCATAATATAAGAAAAGACGTTGAATCAAACATGTTTATTTAAATCTGTCTCGATGTTAATGTTTGGAATGACTATCATGATATTTCCTTGTGACTTTTTAAGGACGCTGGTGTTACCTTTTGGTGTGTAAGAGATTGTGTTAAACACTTGATATTAAAGTTGTGTGCAGGTTGAAAATGTTTATATAAATTCATGTTGCATTTGTAATTTCGAATTTATCCTTCAATATACTTCACTTTCTGGAATGAGTAACTGAATAAAACTTGGGTGTTGAGCTCACAAGACTGTGGTCGAGTTGCGAAGATCGGGATCGAGTGGCCACGGGAAAGAAGGATACTCAACCTAGGACAATTGGAAGTATGCTAGAAGAAGCAACTTAATAATTAGCTGTGTTAGCTTGTTCGTTTAGAAATATGCTGATTGATCCTAGTCGGGTAGAGGTACTAATTCTTGAATGGTCTCAATTGGAAAAATATGCAAGGCAATTAGCTATAACTCAACCAGTCTTTATATTATTGGGATTAGCAAAGTTTTATATTAAACAATATTTGTCTGTTAATTACGTATAGAAAATCTGTTGATGCGAACTTATATCACTTAGGCACTCTGCATCATTTATTTTTTTAAGTACACAGTATCACTTTGGCACATTACTTTTCTTTACAAATTTGAAGACGATGAATATTTTTTAACACAACAACATATCAGGTATCATCATCTTCCTTTTAAGAAGTGATATTATCCAGGTATCAAAAATGTAAAGTGGAGATGGCAAATTTGGGGTATCAAATTTTGTCAGTAGGGAAAAAGAAAGAAATTTGTTCAAATAAATGATATTACAGATTAATCTTAGGCTCTGTTTGATTGTAAAGGTGAAAAAGGCAAACAAATTCCATATTAGTTGGAAAAGAAAAAGACTATCAAAACCATTGGAATTTGATTTCGACGGAATTGGCCAAAAATATGTTTTAAATATTTGTACTTTGAAATTTAGAACTCAATTTCCACTTTTGTATCAAACAGTCAAGGTAAAAAATAAATTCCTCCGACGTGACATTTTTCATGGAATTCGTTTAAATTTAACAGACCCTTAGTTCCGTACTACCGATAGTAATAATAACAAAAATTTTAAATTGAAAGTCAATGAAGAATCCATTATCATTGGGAGAATTATCTCTTTGTCCTTACAGAGTTCCAGCAAGAAGATAACAAATTTTATTTGAGCTCGTGCTTCTCTTTTTTCAGTATACTAAGAAAAAGGCTCATCCTAATATCCTTAACACACGAAGAAAATATTAGCTTCGCATGATACATATTTGAATTACTAATATAAATCAACAATGTCAATATTATATGCATTAGGGGCGACCCCTCAAATTATATCAATTCATGATTGAGAGAACAGATAATGTAAACGATATAATTCAAATATACACATCTAACATAAAATTATACTAGTCGATATATTTAACTATTGACACAATTAAACGCCAAGCTTTTCATTTTACATATCATTTTCACTTCATTATTATGATTATTTAAATTTATTTAAAATAAAATAAAATAAGTCTCTTTCAAATCTAATTTTCCCTATAAGCCATAGCTACTTTGACTTTTTGGGAAACATGAAAATCTGGCCACTTTTTTTTTTCATTTTTCTTTCTTTCTTTCTTTCTTTTTTTTGTGGGGGGTGGGGTGGGGGGGGGGGATTTTGCCCTCCATTTCTTCTTGTTAAATTACGATTAATTATAATTACACCATAATATTTATTTGTTACAATATATTTTAATTTTAATTGCACTACAAGTTTTCAACATTTTTTTGGTGTTGCATTTTTCTTTAACATTAATCAACACACCTCATTCTTGATGATGGTTTTGTCAAAATATTTGTGTTTGTGTACTTTGAAATGAGTGGAAATTATTTTATTCGCATATTTGTACATATCGTTAGTAAGTTGTTTTACGTTATACCTACAGACTTTTGGAGGGAAATGGTTATTAGTTAAGACATGTTAATTAATCAAAAGTTGAGGATAAGAATGCGATGAAAAAAGTTGAAAACATGAGTGATAAAATTAGAAAATATTGAGGATCACAAGTGCAATTGAATATAAAAATGAAATATTTTCGCAGATACACTTCTTATTGAATCTTCCCATTTAAATGGTTTTATTTATTTATCTTTTTCGTTTACTTAATATAAGTAGCATGGAGTGATAACAAAACTAATTATGAGTAAATTTGACCTACTTATATGTTAAGCCAAATATACATTCTTAAGCTTAATGTGAACTTCACGTTGAGTATTTAATTAATAATTAAAACATGGAGTGATAATTGAATCTTAGAATAATAGTCTTATCCTATTAGCATTTTTTTTTTCCTTTTCTAAAATTGAAGAAAAATCAATAAATAGGATCTAAAATATATTTGATAACATGGAACTAGGCGCAAAATTAGAATTGCAGATGTTATGATTAGGTCCGAATGATTAGAGCAATTTTAACCAACAAACGAAAGCAAAATAAAGAAAATAAATAAATAAATAACACAAAAAACACAAGTTCTTCACCCTAAGACAATAGGTTTAGAGCAAGCTTCTAATCCTTTTTTGAGCTTTCGCCATGGATGAATATTAATGCAATAAATCGGAGCCAAATCGTCGAAGCATAACTTCAGGAGACCACCAACAGAAATCACTCAAGATTAAATTGTTATTGTTCATACAAGAACAATACAACCAAACCCTTCCTAGATTTATAGCGATCACTCAAGAATCAACCCAGAAGAAAAAATTTAGAAGATGAAATATCTTTTAAAAACACAAAAGAGATGAACTCCCATTAGAAAGAAAGAAGTTCAGAGAACCTAAAAGTCAAAAGCTAGAATACTGAAAAACCAAACTGTGTAACCAAGCATACACTACATGGCAGTATCCTGTGCTTCTCCTCTGTTGTGAAACGGAGAGGTTAATATGGCACATTATGAAGTATAAGATCACAAGAATAGAAACAAGATTTAAAATAAAGAAGAAAAGAGACTGGTGAAGGAATCGATATTTTAGTAATGACAACCAATGGCGACTTCAACAATAATGCTTTTTCTAGACTGAATAAAGGAGCCATATATTAAGGTGTATTATTATTAGAAGCAAATTAGGCTTCCTTGTACATAATAGTTAGTTTCCATGTATACTTTGTTTCCTTAAATAGCTTGTAACATTCTATAAAACAAGGGGAATATGCACAAGGAATTCATTCAGAAAAATATTGTCATGGTATCAAAGCCCTAAGTTACTTACTCGTGCATGCAATTTTGAGTGATTGGCTTTCGGTTCATAGTAATCGGCGCTCGTGTCTCAGGCGCCATCTGGATACTTCGAATTACCTACGTACTTTGTCTCCAACTCTTGTCCTATGTTCTCGGTCAGCGAGTTACAGCCTCACTATTCAAGATCTTGGTCGTTATCTCCTCTCGCATTGCGCAGTCTAGTTTTTTTGTCATAGTTTCCTTCTCGGTTCGACCATTGGTTCTTGGTAGCAGTAGGTTTTCGACGTCTTAGTGCTGGGTTGTTGGATTTTTTGGTGTTGGGTTCGTGATTTTTGCATCTCCGATTGAAGTCTTTGATCACATGTTACACTCGATGTCTTCTCTCCTTTCCTGGATTGAGGTTTGGATCGTGAGTCTTGGTTTTGTAGTTGGACTGTTGGTGTTGTTGGGCAATTGATTTGGACTACTATTAATTGAATAGTGTTGGGCTATTGTTTTGATTAATTATTAGTTGGGCTAAATTATTTGGATTGGACATAATTTACTTGGTTAAATTTTGATTAATTTGGTTGGACCATACAAGATTCCATCATGTCAACGGATAAAAATGAGTCGATTTGTATTTGCTTTACTGAAAAAGTTACTCTTCATGGGCTTTTCACTTTCAATTATTGGTTGACGACAAATGTGATCTTTGGAGACATATGATGGAAGTCTTCCGGCTCCTGATCAAGAGAAGGATAAAGAAAAATATCTTGTTTGGAAAATCAAAGATTCTCGACTTATGGCCTGGATTATTGGATCGGTTAATGAGCAGATTGTACTTAATCTCAGGCCATCAGCCCGTGCTATGTGGGAGTTCTTTAAGAAAGTCTATACTCAAAGCAATAATGCTCGGGGACTTCAGTTGGAGTTTGAATTAGCAAACTCTCAATAATCAAGTTCTATTTAAGAATATTATTTAGGATTCTCTAATCTTTGGGCTGAATACATAGATATTATCTATGCTTCAATTTCATCAAACAATTTGGAAGCTATCCAAGCTGTACACGATGTCACCAAGAGGGATCAATTTCTTATGAAATTGCGAATTGAATCTGATTCCATCTGGTTCGGCCTTATGAATCGCGAGTCTATTCCATTACTGGATGGTTGTTTAGGTGAATTACCGAGGAAGGAATAGTGTCTTATCACTCGTAAGTCTTTGGAACAACAACAAAATCATGTAGCCTTGGTTCCTATTGCTTATGTGGCTCACAAAAAATTTAAGTCTCAGGATATATTTGGTGTGCATTGCTATAGCTGTAAGGGATTTGGTCACATGGCTCTTTAGTACCCCAGGAAAGTTTGCAATTACTACAAGTCTGGGCATGTTATTAAGGAGTGCCCCAATCCTCCTTCACGCAAGATTGGAGTAAATTATGTTGCTGCTGCCACTTTAGCCTCTAGTTCTGCTCCTCCACCTATTCCCGTTCAAGCTCCAGCCTCTCCCAACTCTTCCCAAACTCCCATAGCTCCTGAGATGATTCAACAAATGGTTATCTCTGCTTTGGGTGTCTCAGGTAATCCAACATCTACTCACTATTCTTTGTTATTAGACTCAAATGCCTCTAACCATCTGACTCACGGTCCTCTGTTGCTTAGTAAACCTAGACCTTATGCTGGACCTTTCAATATACAAACGGCGATGGTAACACCCTTCCTATCTCCGTCGTGGGGGATATATCTCCAGAATTGTCTAATATTTTAGTCTCTCTTGATTTATCAGCTAATTTTTATCTGTCGAGCAACTTGTTAATAATAATTGTATTGTCTCTTTTTTTTCTTCTAGTTGTTATGTACAGAATTGGGTGTTTGAAAGGATGATAGTGAATGGGCCTAAGGAAGGACGTCTATTTTCTATTTCACCAAG